GAGGGGTGGGGATGGGGGTGAAGCCGCTTCTTCCCGAGCTCCCCACTTGAGCCCCCAGCCCGTCCAGCCGGGCCCAGGGGCGTCGGTTACCTTCTCGGTTCCCGGCGGGCGGCGGGGGAGCCGGGGACGCCGAGACGTTTTCTATTATAGGCTGTTTTTAATTAAAAGCCGGAATTCAGCCATTTTAACTACATTTAAGAGGGGGAGAAAGTAGGGAGAACGCAGCGCAGCCCGCAGATGGCCGAGCCAGCTTCTCTACCAGAGCGAGGGTGGTCCCGGGGGCTTCACCTCGACTTCCCCAAAGTGGGGCGCCGGGGCATCCCCTGAAGCGCTGGCTTTTAAGAGAAAGCTACACAAAGAACATTTAAAAAAAAAAAATCACGGGAAGCTCCTCGCCTCCTTAAGACATGTATCCTCGGATGTGGCGATCTTAGATTTTTCCAAAGTAAACGCGGATCTGGTAACCAGAGCCTGATGGGAGGGAGCGAGGAAGGGAAGGGGTTGGTTGTAACCTAAACCGGGTTAAAATAAGCACCTTTAGCGAAGTTGCGGAGGAAACCTGGAGGAGGTGGCCGGGGGCTTGGCGGACAAGGGGTCTGCAGCGCCCGGCCTGGGAGGGCACCCGGGAGCCGGTGGCTTTCGCGTGATCGGCGGCTCGAGGAGCGCCCGGGCCTCCGGGATCGGGAATCCGAGCTGCTGCGGGCAGAAGAGAGCCGAGGGCAGGATTGGCCCCGAGACCCCCCTCCCGCCCCCACGGGAATCGTCAACCGACAAATCTTTTAAACAAACAGCTTTAAACTGGAACTACAGGGGGATTTACCCAACGCCGGGGGAGACGCCCCTCGGTGCGAAGGCTTTCTTTGTAGGTTATTTTTGGGGGTAGGGGGAAGCTAGGGTAGGAGCGAGACCCTTGAGACCCTTCCATCCCCCCTGACGCCCCCCAAGTCCCCCGCGCCAGGCCACGTCCTCGGGCCGCAGGATTCCCGGGCCAGGGCGTTGGAAAATGAAACCAAAGCTTGTTTGGAAGGATTCTTTTCAGTCCTCGGGCAAGAATGCCACGTCTCGGGTCCTCGGACTCGGAGTCCGCAACCCACAGTGGCCCGAGGGGGGCGGCGAGTCTCTTTAAACGTAATAAACCGGCTTTGCAACCTCTCTCCCTAAAAATCCACGAGTTCGGCGCCTGGGGACGAGCTCAGGGAAACCAAACTCAGAAAAGGAAGGCGAGGGCCTCCAAAGGTTAAATATTAAACTTTCCGGATCAGATAGTGACACAGTGTTAGACATTTCGAACTGCTCTTGGAAAGGTTTCACGGTTTGAAACCCCGGGAGCATGTGACGCCCAGGAATCAAACACTCCGGAGGTTTGTATTTGCGCGGCCGGGGCGCGGCGGAGGGACCTTCTCCGGTTTAGGGAGGACCCGGGAACCGCCGAGGCAGAGCCGGGCTGGTGCGCAGCGTGCCGCCCGCCACTCTCCGAGTCGGGGGCCCCAGCAGCCCGAAGCTGCCCGAGGAAGGAGCATGGATTTTTACTTTTTATGCAGAAGGGGCTACTCCCGTTTTCATTTCTGGTTACTACATCGGCAGCCCCCGACCCCAAACGGCAAAACGACTTTCTGAAACTTGTTTTTGTGTTTTGTTTTTTTTCTTCCCTTTTTTTTCTTTTCTCCCTTCTGTTTCTTCCGTGGCCTGTCTCCTCTCCCC